CCCTAAAAATCAAACACTGGTTGTTTTAGCAGTCTACAACCTCCGCATCTTTATTTATCACCTATTTTCTTGACATACCATCATTTTAATTTTCTCAGTTGAATTTGCAAGTCAGGTCTATTTTATACACAGAAGAAAAAACCCCTTCCTCTGCAATGAATTTGGGTTGATCCCGAGCATGTGATATGATCTCATGAAGCTTCCTTCTGCATTTTCAAAAACTCTCCATCTTTCTAATGCCAAACCAGGGGAAGGGGGGGGGGGGAGAGAAGTGTTTTGATTTTGTGAAGTAGATTCCCATTTTTCCTGAAAGTATTTGTATGTACACACACTCACACACACACCAGTTGTTTAATGTGATGGATTGGAGAGGTGCAAGAGCATCCCCGATCTATATTTTAAAAAGATGAGATCAGACATTGGCCTGCATGCATCATGGCACGATTCTCCTTGTGGCCTCATTTAAAGCACACACACAAGGCGCAAAAATTGGCCTTGCATTGATCCCTCTCCCACCCCCCTCTCTCCCACACACACACACACAACTGGTGGCATACAGCTGTGTCTTGCTCTACAGGATTTATAATTCTTGGTCATCAAGAGGGAGCACAGAACATTCCCAAGAGAGGCTGTGAAGATATCAGCTCAGCTTTGCATTGACCTCCCTCTTTTACATAAACCTATACAACTGTGTTGACATTTTGGTCACCAAGAGGAACCCCAGCACATCCTGAAGGCAGGCCAGGAAGGTCCCAGCTCAGTAAAGCACTGATCTCTCTTACACACAAAAACATAGAACTAATTGTGCACAACCCCAGCACATCTCCAAAGGAATACATGGGGATATCAGCGTAGCCTTGCATTGATCTTCCTGTCTCACATACACATGCAAAGCAGGTTTACATTTTGGTCACCAAGCAAAACCCCAGCACATCCCCAAGGTTGGCCAGGAGAATGCCAGATCAGTTTTCTGGTGATCTCTCTCACACATAAAAAGAACACAACTGGTGGTGCATAACTGCTCGTCCAGGGTTTATATTTTGCTCACCAAGAAGCAATCCCAGCACATCTCCAAGGGAGGCCATGAAGGAATCAGCTCAGCCTTACATTGATCATTCTCTCTCTCACACACAAATACACACAGCTGATGGTGCACAATCCCAGAATATCCCTATAGGAGGGTGACAACTCAGCCTTGTATTAATCTCTCCTTCTCTCATACAGCAGGGCATATATTGTTTTGGTCACCAATAGAAACTCCAGCACATCTTCAAGGGAGGCCCAGCTCAGCCTTCTAATGATTCTCAAACATTAAAAACACACAACCAGTAGTGCACAACTATGTTTTCCTCTACAGTGTGTGTGTGTATGTTTGTATTTCTTTATCTATCTGTCATCAAGAGGAACCCCAGCACATCTCTGAGGGAGGCCACGAGGAGATCGGCTCATAAGGATATCAGATCTCCCTTGCTCTCATACATATACACAACTGGGTTCTGGTCATCAAGAGGACAGGAAATCAAGTACATCTCTAAAGCAGGTCAGGAAAGTGCCAGCTCAGCCCAGGTCTGCTCTTACACTCAAAAACACAGAACTGATGGTGTTAAATACCAGAATATCCCCAAGGGAGGCCAGGAAGGTGCTAGTTTAGCCTTGCATTTACCTCTCTCTCATACACAGACAAAACTATGTTTTACTCTATAGGGTTTACATTTGGGTCACTGAGAGGAACCCCAGCACATTTCCAAGGCAGGCCAGGAAGGTGCCAGCTCAGCATTGCACTGATCTCTCTTACACACAAAACTGATGGTGGACAACCCCAGCACATCTCCAGAGGAAGCCATGAGGGTCTCAGCTCAGCCTTGCATAGATAATTCTCTTTCACGCACACAAAAACACACAACTGCTGGTACACAACCCCAGCACATCCACATAGGAGGCCAGGAGTGTGTCAGCTAGGCCTTTTATTGATTTCACACACACATTAAAAACACAACACTAGTGGTGTCATTTGTCTTTTGATCCCCATTTATGGCCCTCAAGAAGAACCCCATCTCATTTCCGAGGGAGGCAGGGAGGGATTCAACTCAGCCTTCACTTGATCTCTCTTACATGTAAAAAGCACATAACTGATGATGCTCAACAAGGTTTATATTTTGGGCACCAACAGGAACCCCATCACATCTACAAGGAAGGCCGGGGGGGAGGGTGGCTCAGCTCAACCTTACATTGACCATTCTCTATCTCTCTCACACAAACACACTGCTGGTGGTGTACAGATCCAGCATATCCACATGGAAAGCTAGGAGGGTGACAGCCTTTGATTGATCTGTCCCACACATAAAAAGCACATAATTGATGGTGCTCAACAAGGTTTATATTTTTGTCACCATGAGGAACCCCATCACATCCCCAAGGGAGGCCAGGTGGGGTCACCTCAGTCTTGCATTGACGATTCTCTCTCACACACACAAAAACACACTATGCACAGCTCCAGCATATCCACATGGGAGGCTGGGAGGCTGGGAGGGTTCCAGGTCAGCCTTCGATTGATCTGTCCCACACGTTAAAAGCACATAACTGAAGATGCTCAACCAGGGTTTATATTTTGGCCACCCAGAGGAACCCCATCACATCTCCAAGGGAGACTAGGAAGGGATGAGCTCAGCCTTCCATTTATCTACCCTGCACATTAAAAACACATAACTGATGATGCTCAGTGGAGTTTGTATTTTGACCACCCAGAGGAACCCCGTCACATCTCCAAGGAAGGCCAGGAGGGGATTGGCTCGGCCTTCTATTGATCTGCCCAGGACATTAAAAGCACACAACTGATGATGCTCAAGGGGGTTTGCATTTTGGCCACCAAGAGGAACCTCATCACATCTCCAAGGAAAGCTAGGGAAGGATCAGCTCAGTCTTGCATTGACCATTCTCTCTCACACAGACACAAACACATGACTGCTGGTGCACAACCCCAGTATATCCCCATGGGAGACCAGGAGTGTGCCAGCTTGGCCTTTTATTGATCTCTCACACACCTTAAAAATGCACACCCAGTAGTACCAGTTGTGTTTTGCTCTACATTCATGATCCTCAAGAAGGACCCTATCATATCTTGGAGGGAGGCAGGGAGGGGATCGACTCAGCCTTTGATTGATTTGCCCCATGCGTAAAAAGCACATAACTGATGATGCTCAGCAGGGTTTATATTTTGGCCAACATGCAGAACCTCATCACATCTTCAAGAGAGGCCAGGAGAGGCTGAGCTTAGCCTTGCATTGACCATTCTCTCTCTCACACACAAAAACACACTGATGGTGGTGCACAGCTTCAGCATATCCACATGGGAGGCCGGGAGGGTGCCAGCTCAGCCTGCGATTGATGTGCCCCACATATAAAAAGCCATGTATTCATACCTCCTTCTCTCACACAGCTGGGCATATATTGTTTTGATGATGCTCAAGGGGATTTATATTTTGGCCACCAAGAGGAACCCCATCACATGTCCAAAGGAGGCCAGGAGGGCTCACCTCAGCCTTGCCTTGACCACTCTCTCTCTCAAACACAAAAACACACTACTGGTGGTGCACAGCTCCAGCAAATTCACATGGGAAGCTGGAAGGATTCCAACACACCCTGTGATTGATCTGCCCCACATGTAAAAAGCCATGTAGTCGTATCTCCTTCTCTCACACAGCAGGGCATATATTGCTTTGATGATGCTCAAGGGGTTTTTTATTTTGGCCACCACAGGAGCCACATCACATCTCAGAGGGAGGCCAGAAGGGGATCAGATGAGCCTTCCATTGATCTCCCCACACCTAAAAAGCACATAAGTGATGATGCTCAACTAGGCTTTATATTTTGGCCACCAAGAGGAAGCCCATCACATCTCCAAGGGAGGCCAGGAGGGGATCAGCTGAGCCTTCCATTTATCTGCCCTGCACATTAAAAGCACATAACTGATGATTCTCAGTGAGGTTTGTATTTTGGCCACCCAGAGGAACCCCATCACATCTTCAAGGGAGGCCAGGAGGGGACTGACTCAGTCTTCTATTGATCTGCTCCACACATTAAAAGCACATAAGTGATGGTGCTCAACCAGGCTTTAGATTTTGGCCACCAAGAGGAACCCCATCACATCTCCAAGGGAGACTAGGAAGGAATCATCTCAACCTTCTATTGATCTGCTCTGCACACTAAAAGCACATAACTGATGACTTTTTTTGTCATGTCAGGAGTGACTTGAGAAACTGCAAGTCGCTTCTGGTGTGAGAGAATTGGCCATCTGCAAGGACGTTGTCCAGGGGATGCCAAGATGTTTTGATGTTTTATCATCCTTGTGGGAGGCTTCTCTCATGTCCCCACATGAGGAGCTGGAGCTGATAGAGGGAGCTCATCCACATTCTCCCTGGATCCGAACCTGCGACCTGTCGGTTTTCAGTTCTGCCGACACAGGGGTTTAACCCACTGCATCATTGGGGGCTCATAACTGATCGTAATGCTCAGTGGGGCCAAAATACAAACTCCCATAACTGATGATGCTCAGTGGGGTTTATACTTTGGCCACCAAGAAGAACCTCATCACATCTCCAGGGGAGGCTAGGAAGGGATCAGCTCAGCCTCTTATTGATCTGTCCCACACATCAAAAGCACATAACTGATCATGATGCTCAGTGGGGCCAAAATACAAACTCCCATAACTAATGATGCTCAGTGGGGTTTATATTTTGGCCACTATGAGGAACCTCATCACATCTCCAAGGGAGGCTAGGGAGGGCTCAGTTCAGCCTCCTATGATCTGCCCTGCACATCAAAAGCACATAACTGATGATGCTCAAGAGGGGGGGGGGGCGGTATATTTTGACCACCAGGAGGAACCCCATGGCATCTTCAAGGGAGGCCAGGAGGGCAGCCTTGCATGGTGGACCTCCCTCTTTCAGGAACCCCGCAGGCTGTGTCTTGCTGTGGGGCCCCAAGAGGCCCCCCTCACTCACCTCGACGAAATAGAAGCAGGGCAAGAGGGTGACGCTCTCCTTGGTGGGCGCTTTGCTCTTGGGCGGCCTCTCCTTGGCGGCGGACATGCTGGAGGCCGGGCCCGGGCCCGGTGCGCCTGGGTTGGAGGCGGGCAGGAGCCGCGGGGCGGGCGCGGGCGGGAGGAGCGCGTTGGCGGCGGGTCCGGCCGAGGCGGCGCTCCCGGGCAGGCGTCCCCCCCTCCCGCTGCCCCAGTGCCGGGCGCCCAGGTCACATTCGCCCAGCGGGGTGGGCCCGCCCTCGCGGGGAGAGGGGAGCAGGGCGCAGCCTCCCAGCCCCGCCGCCGCCGCCTCCTCCTCCCGCGGGGGCGGCGGGGGCAGCAGGAGCACGAAGCCCGCGGGGCCGCTGCAGGGGCGGACCGGGCCCCCTCCGCCGCCGCCTCCTCCTCCTCCTCCTCCTCCTCCTCTCTCGGCCAGCAGCCTGCGGGTCTCCTCCTTCTCCAAAGCGGCGGCGATCAAGGCTTCCTCCTGCCCCCCTCCTCCTCCTCCCCCTCCGCCGTGGTCCCCCCCGGCATAGAGCCCCGGTCTACATCGAGTCGCCGCCGTCGCTCTGGCCAGCCGGCTTCTTCGTGCAATATTCATAGAGCTGACGTCAAGGAGCCCGCTCCATGCGAAAAGCAGAAAGGGGGCCCCTGGGGTCTACATGGCGGAGAGGAGGAGGAGGAGGAGGAGGAAGAGGAAGAAAAGCGGGGGGGGGGGCGCAGAGAGGCGCCGTCGAGACTCCTGCTCTTCCCTTCCCCCGATGGAGATATAGGCAATATGGGGGAAAGGGGAGGATGGGAGGACCGCGAGAATAATAATAAAAAATGGGTGGGGGGAAGAAGGGAGGGAGGCGGATTCACACGTTACGTGTCGCGGTGCCTCCGCCTCAGACGCAACGCAGGGTGGCAGAACCCCTGCGAACCGAGGCGCCGTCGCCCAGCAACAGCCTGGAGGACCGATGCCTCAGACCCGGGTTGGACTCGCTTCCTCGAGGGTCTCCTCCACGCTGTCAAGGCTCAGTGCTGTGGATCCTGGGATTTGTATTTTTGGGGAGAGAAGACTCAAGGCTTTGCACTACTACAACCCCCACGATTCCACCGCGTGGAGCCATAGCAGTTCAAGGAGTGGCAATCGGCATTCCATGTATTGTCGAAGGCTTTCGTGGCTGGAATCACTGGGTGGTTGTAGGATTTTCGGGCTATATGTCCATGTTCTAAAGGCATTCTCTCCTGACCTTTCGCCTGCATCTAGGGCAAGCAACCTCAGAGGTTGCTTGCCATAGATGCAGGCAAAACGTCAGGAGAGAATGCTTCTAGAACATGGCCATATAGCCGGAAAAAACTACAACAACCCAACCTGCATTTATTCCCCAGTCGAGATCAGGCATGGGCAAGCTTGGGCCCTCCAGGTGTTTTGGACTTCAAGTCCCACAATTGCTAACAGCCACAGGCCCCTTCCTTTTCCTAAGCAACTGAGGGTGGAAAGGGACCCCCCTCGCTGTGGCGCGGTGGGTTAAACCACTGAGGTGCTGAACTTGTTGGCCAAAAGGTCACAGGTTCGAATCCGTGGAGCAGCGCAAGCTTCTGCTGTCAGCCAACCTAGCAGTTCAAAAACATGCAATGTGAGTAGATCAATAGGTATTGCTCTGGCGGGAAGGTAACGGCGCTCCATGCAGTCATGGCAGCCACATGATCTTGGAGGTGTCTATGGACAATGCCGGCTCTTCAGCTTAGAAATGGAGATGAGCACCAACCCCCAGAGTCAGACTTAATGTCAGGGGAAAACCTTTACCTCAGGGTGGAAAAGAAGGGTCTTGGGGCTTTTAGGGATTGTGGGAATTGAAGTCCAAAACACCTGGAGGACCCAAATTTGCCCATCCCTGGTCTAGAGGCACCCTAAATCTTCTTCCTTGAATTCATGGGTGGAAGTGCCTAGGAGCAAACTGTGTGTAACCGTAGTGCAAAACTTGTGGGTATGGTGATGAGATAACCAGGGTGAACCAGAAGCACGCCTGGTTGAGGAGCCATGTTCTACCTACAGCTTCCATGATTCCGTTGCATTGAGCCATGTACTAGTTGAGAACAAGAAGAAAGTAGTTCACATGTACAGGGCAACTGTCCAACAAATACTTACTACACAAGTGTCTATAATTGGATATGACTAACCACGGGGGTGGGGGGGGTGGGGGTGGGTGGGTCCCTTTCCACCCTCAGCCACTTAGGAAAAGGAAGGAGCCTGTGGCTGATAGCAACTGCATTGATTCTGCAGTGGAGATGTACCCATGTCTAAGGAGAAAAGTGAATGGGTGGACAAGTCTACATAGGGACTATCAAATGCAACATTGCCCATACATGAATCAAGGAACATGAAAGGCACTACTTCAGACTATTTCAACCAGAGAAGTCAGCCATAGCAGAGCACCTGATGATCCAACCTGGACACAACATATTATTTGAGAACATTGAAATGCTGGACCACTCTCACAACCACCATGTCAGCCTACACAGAGAACCCAATGAAATCCACAAACATGTGGATAATTTCAACAGAAAGGAGGAAACCATGAAAAAAAATAGCTACCAGTATTAAAAGACTCTAAAATCAAAACAGTAATTAAGCACTCAAAAACAGGGGAGTTCCAGACAAGAAACAATCAGGGCCAGCTAATCAGCTCCCAACAAAGGATTCCCCCAGGTGGTAAGAAGCCAGACCTTGAAGCTGCAAGGCCATTCTATGCTAATCAAAGTGGCCAATTGCAACTTTCATACTTGCCTCTTACAGACAAAAGTTCTTTCTCCCACCCTGGCCATTCCACAGATATGTAAACCTCACTTGTATAGTTTCCAACAGACCTCACAACCTCTGAGGATTCCTGCCATAGATGTTGACAAAACGTCAGGCAAGAATGCTTCTGCAACATGGCCATACAGCCTTGAAAGCTCACAGCAACCCTGTGATTCTGGTCATGAAAGCCTTTGACAATACAATGAATAGGTTGCCCACACAACATTAGAGTTATAACAGTGAACTGAACTGGCCTTGTTCCATCCTATCAAATCCTGGGGGAGAGACTTCTACAGTAAGCCAACGTGATGCCATTTGTGGATCATGTACTAGAGCAGTGGTTGCTTGCCTTTGGTTCTCCAGCCATTTTGGATTTCAGCTCCCAGGATTCCTGAATTTTGGCCAAGCTGGGTAGGGCTTCTGGGGGTAGAAATTCTGCAGTTTGGGGTTCCTGACCTGAAGGATCCAAGGCATTTCAGTATTCTAAGTCTATCAGGTGACTACAAATATCAGGATTCTATAGGAAGGAGCCACATCAACTCAAGGGGTAGCATCATGGTTGCATGCATGCACACTTAGCAATTCTGCCTATTACCTCAGATACAATGCTTTCCAGCATAGTGTCTTTGCTGATATTATCAGTAGTCAATAAACAAATGGATCCATCTCCCTACACTTACCTGAACATACCTGATCCTGTCAGAGTTTGCTAAATAGAATGAGGGCAATGTATTGTCAAAGGCTTTCATGGCTGGAATCACTGGGTTGCTGTGAGTTTTCCGGCCTTTATGACCATGTACCAGAAGCATTCTCTCGCTGGCACCTATGGCAGGCATCCTCAGATGTTATGATAACCTCAAAGGATGCCTGCTATAGATGCTGGTGAAATGTCAGGAGAGATTGCTTCTGGAACATGGCCATACATCCCAGAGAACTCACAGCAACCCAGAATGAGGGGAGTTTGGTACTTTCATGGAAAACAATGGTGACTGATGGCTTCCACTGTAATGGGAAGGGAATTTGGCTCAGTTTTTCAGTCCAAACTTTGAAGGAGCTATCAAATGTGCCTAATTTATTACGGGTTGGGATGTAACATCTTGAATAGACCTTTTAAACTTTGAAGTTCAGAATTGAGTCAGTGGCTCACTGAAATGGAGCTGTCCAGGGTCCTGATTCTTATTCTGCTCACTAAACATAGGTTTAACATCTTAAATAGTTCTTTTACGAGTGGATTTTCACTATCCTGCCATTTAAGCTGATGCCATAAGGAAATCATAAGAATCTCTAGTTATGACAATGAAAAAAAAACCCTTTTCTAATGCCCTAGAGAGCTGCTGCCGATCATACTTGATAATTCTTGGCCAGATATTACACCTTTTTTGTAATCCATTTGAATCTTTATAAATCTTACTTTGTTTCTCTGTAATATGTAAAAGTATCCCAAACATTGAGAAGATCATGAAGGAGGGTTTCTAACATGCCTAATAAAATGATCACAGATGTCTGGAGCTTTCTCTATCTTATTGAAGACATTATACTTTGTGCATGCTCAGAATCAATGTAATTCTTTGTGTTGCCGAAGACTTTCATGCTTGGAATCACTGGGTTGCTGTGAGTTTTCTGTGCTATATGGCCATGTTCCAGAAGCATTCTCTCCTGACATTTCACCCACATATATGGCAGGCATCCTCAGAGTATGAGGGGTCTGTTGGAAACTAGGAAAGTGAGACTCCACTTTCCATCCACTACTTTGGTTTTTTCTTTCTTTCAAGAGTGCTGGATGTAAATAATAATAATAATAATAATAATAATAATAATAATAATAATATCTTTATTTTTATACCCCACCACCATCTCCCCAAGGGGACTCGAGGTGGCTTACATGGGGACAAGTCCAAATCACAATAAAAACAACAGCATTAAAATCAATCAATAAAAACATAATACAAATACATCAACAGCATCATAAAAACAGTAACATGGCTGAAAAGAGAGTCAGAATTGGGTCCAGGTTCAAGTAAGTGCAATAAATTCCTAAGTTAAGCCAATTGAAAGTGCAAAAAGTATCAATCTAGAGGGCGTACCTCTGGCCATAAAGTGTCAAGATTAGTGGGGAGTGGGTAACCTAAATGCAAGAACTTAAGCAAGATAGAGTAAGTTCTCTAGTGAACTGCCAAATCAAAGGCACAATGGAGCATCCAAGTTTTTAAATCCTTATGGATGGTGATCAAGGTGGGTGCTTGTCTAATCCCCTTAGGGAGGGCATTCCAGAGCCAGGGGGCCACCACCGAGAAGGCCCTCTCCCTCGTCCCCATCAACCACACTTGAGACAGTGGCGGGAGTTAGAGAAGAGCCTCTGTGGATGATCTTAAGGCATGAGCTGGTACATAGGGGATGATGTGATCGTGAAGATAGGCAGGTCCCAAAGTGTTTAGGACTTTGTTGGTAATAGCCTGCACCTTGAATTGGGACTGAAACTAGTTGGAAGCCAGTGGAGCTGCTTAAACATGGGGGTTGACTGCTCCCTGTAGCAAGCTCTTGTTAACAACCTGGCTGCAGATCTTTGGATCAACTGCAGTTTCCAGGCCATATTCAAAGGCAGCACCACATAGAGTGTGTTACAGTAATCTAACCTGGAGGTAACTAGGGCATGGACCACCATGGCCAAGTCAGACTTCACGAGGTAAGGGCGCAGCTGGTGCATAAGCTTTAATTGGACAAAGGCCCTCCCAGCTACCGCTGAAACCTGAGCATCAAGTGTCAAGGTGGAGTCCAGAGGGAACCCCAGACTGCAGACCTTTGCCCTCAGGGAGAGTGTGATCCCATCTAGCACCCTATACCCTGATCGGCCCCATGACTGACCAGGAGGGCCTCTGGTTTGTCAGGATTAAGCTTCAGTTTGTTAGCCCTCATCCAACCCATCACAGCAGCCAGGCACCAGTCAAGGATTAAGAATGTACTTAATATTCTACAAGCATTTCAGGGCTTCACCTCTTTCTGAGTATTTTTGCTGACATTTGTGGAGACTCAGAAATTCAAAGTACAGTGACATTACAGTGACATCCACTTCATATACTGCCACTACACCAATCATATTAGGTAATATTATATAATAGGTAATAGAGAACTGGGTTGCTGTGAGTTTTTTTGGGCTATAGGGCTATGTTCCAGTTGCATTCTCTCCTGATGTTTCACCTGCATCTATGGCAGGCATTCACAGATGTTTATTCAGAGGTCTGTT